AACCAAAAGTACTTATAAAATTTAGGGGTTCTCACCCATTAAAAAGCATTTCTTTATATTACAAACAACTTTTAATTATGCAAGAAATCTTTTATATTAAAAAGTTTTGATTATGCAAATTGCACCTTTATCCAACCAAAAATATTTTATTCCTTTATATTGCCTCATATCAGGCTGAATATTGATCTGAAACCAGCATCCTGAACTGGAAACTTCCTTAAGCACCAACTAGTTCCATCTTATACTGATGGACTCATTTAATCAAGCTTGATTTTGTTCAAATTAACTTGTCAAAGTAACAATGTTAAAGACTCATGAAACAAAGATACTTTCAAATTCTTTATTCAAAGTTCAGAGGAAAATCAGCCATTTAAAAGGGAACATTTCCTCCAACAATCAGGAGCCAGCTCAGTTTTGCAGCTGCTGACAGTAAGTGGAGCTTCTGGTCCAGAGCAGCAGCTCAAACTGCTCAGTAACAGCAGCATCCTCAGCCTGGAACACTCTGGAACCACAGCAGAGCAGCCATTGGTTGGAGAAAAGGTGCAATAAAGCCATTTCTAACAGCTATCAGAGACCTTCTGACCTCCAGAATCCACAGAACCAGGACCAGCACCGTTAGAAGCAGAGACTGACCACCGACTGGTTCACAGCCAAACCTCCACCAGGACCACTGGAACCAGAGCAAACAGCTTTTTGTTACCTGGAAAAGACCAAATTAAAAACAATTTTCAGGTGGTTAGAGTTGTTGCTGTTGCACATGTTTATTCCAACCAAACTGGCAAAACAAGTTTTATAAACACCAGCTTCTTCTGTTCCTTGTCAGGTATTAAAGAGTGGAGAAACACTTACCAAAGAGAAAAATGCATCCCAACCTGCTAATAAAAAAAGATATTTAAATGTTTTCCAAATGTGCCCCTAATACTTCACACAGGAAATATTCATTAAAAATGTAGATAAACAAATAGTCATTTTATTTAGATATCATCCATAGCCAGATTCCAGATGTGTTGTTGCAATACCAAAATGCCGCCACAAGGTGGCGCTACCTCTTTTTTGAGGTACAGTGAACAGGCAGCGGCCATCTTGTCCGCCATGTTGTTCTTTGCCTAAGACTCTCAGTAACAAGGTGACGGTTGAGCCGTCTACATTTTACTGCTCATGTATGAGCAGTAAATGTAGCTCCGTGGAGACCTGGCACTATAAGGTCGATACTGTCAAGTAATACTGGACTACTGTTAATTAAAATACCGTGTGGAAATCCCAACTTGTTCATCTGTCGACTCTCTGAGCTAATGGCTAACCCTGCTAGCCTCTCCGACACCCCTTCACGTTACAACATCTTTATTCCAACCTTTTTAAACTGGGAAAACAAGTTATACAAACGCCAAATTCAACTGTTCCTTGTCAACGAGTATTAGAGAGTGGAGAAATACTTACCAAGGATAAAAATAAATAAAAAATCTCAAATGTGGCCATTTAGATCTTTTCCATAAGTGATGGCTAACAATGCACATGCTAACTTTACCTTCTGCTCACGTGCTGCCCTCCTGTGGTCACATGCTGGTGAATCAGAACGCTAAAAAGTCTGAAAACTTTGAGAAATTAGGCTGTGTCAGAATAAAACTTTAAATATTACACTTTCATGTCAGAGATAATTGTGTTTTTTTTGTTGTGATTTAGTTAATTTGACGTTTGCAGTGAACTGAACTAAACGTGTTCATAAAGCTAACCGAATTACAATTACACTACACTTCCGGTTATACCTTTCAAAATAAACGATGTCTACAACTTTACCGCAAAAAAAAGTTAGTTTTTAATAGTAAGTTCTGCTGGTAAAGCCTCAAATCAGCTCCGCTTGCTTGAAACTTCTGTTTAGGCCCAGACGCTGGAACAGAAAGACAAAAACAAACATTTGCAGGTTGAATTGTTGCACCACATCTTCATTCTTACCTTTTCAAACTGGTAAACTTGATGAACAGCAGCTTCTTCTGTTCCTGGTGAACGAGTGGGGAGGATGTTCAGGTTAGTGAGCATCACAATTTAAAACCAAAGACACTTTCAAGCCGACCAGAAAGGAGCAAACAACAAACCTGGTTACCTGTGCAGCTCTGTAGCTAACAGGAAATCTCCCACACCTGGCCTTAGGTGTGGGACCCAGCCCTCAGTCTGGACCCGGCCTGTAGGACCTCTGGACAGCAGCTTTTAGTCAGACTCACCTGAACACGCGGAGAGCGCGAGACAAACGCAGCCCACGCGCCCCCAAACGTCCTTATTCCCTCCGCCAGCCACGTTCCCGCCCACTAATCTGCTCACCTGCTCTGCAGACACACCTGGAGCCCATCAGCCGCTGATTGCAGGCCGGCTGCTGCCCCCTGGCGGCCAGAGGAGGAACCGCACCCAGAAAACAAACAACAATCACAGAAAATGGACCTCACGAAACATTAAAATATTACAAACACTGAATAAATAATGTTGCCACTTCACACAATACCTTCTGTGCCATTAAAACATGTTGACCTTAATCTTGTCATTTATTCTTGCCATGTTTAATAACGACTTCAATCTTGTAGAAGCTAGTTAGTTCTTCTTCTCTGTCCACAATCAAACTGAAGGCCCCGTTTCCGGCTGCCCTCTAGCGGCCAAACCGCAGAGCTGCATTAACCGTGTTTCACTGAGCCGTGGTTTGATGAGCAGAACCAGCAGAAATGTCTGCACAAGTTGTCACGAGAAGTCACGTTTAATCAGCACATTTCTACATTTTAAACTAATTTTTAAAGTATTTTTTTAAACTGAAGCGTAGCTAGATTGCTGCTAGCTAGCGCTAACAACAGCTTCACGATCACTAAAAGACTCCTGATTTGATTTAAGACGTTAAAAAGCTGTGAATTATCAGGATAAACACCGGGTTAACATTCAGTTAGCAATGAGAGTTGAACGCCCTCGCTGTTTTTAGAAAGGTTTACTTTAATGTTTGTTAAATGCAAGACTGTTACATCCGGTTTACTTTGAAAGGGTAACAGGAAGTAAGGCCTATTTTCCAACCTCCAGCTTTACACTTTAGTTCCATCCGTGGAGATGGTAACAGGAGCTCTTAATATAACTTTAAAATAGAAAATACCATTTTAAATTACATGAGATTTCCAGTAGAATGAAGCCTGGACACGTGGTGAAAAGGTGGAAACAAAAGATCAGACCT